CTGTTGCCCTTTCGGGCTTGAACTGATGGTAAAACAAACGATATTATTAACTGTCTTGATATTTACTTTGAAAGTTGACGCTCGCGATTATGGTAAGGGGCGTTACATTTCTGACGCGTGCTTGTGGTGTTCGGCCAATCACAATGCACTGGGTCAGCTGGCCAATCAGAGCAGACTGCGCTTGTCAAAGGAGGGGGCTTTGTTGAAAACGACGTGTTTGAGAGAGGCGGGGCATAGAGGACCTACAATAATGTACAGTATTTGAAAAATAATGTGTTTTTTTAACATTAAAGCATGTCAACATATTCTGTAACACCAAATACACAAAATAATGATCTTTGAAAAAAATAGCATCATATGACCCCTTTAAAATATCTTGTTTTGTGTTCCACAGAAGACAGAAACGACACGAGGCTGAGCAAATGATAACTGAATGATAATTTTCAGGTGAACTATCCCTTTAAGACAACAGAAGTGCTTTAATGGGACTACTAGTTCAGTAATTCCCTTGTTAGTACGCATCCTCGTGTCTTTCGAATGGATGAATGGGAAATATACTTCCTGAACCCAAGATCTCATTTAATATAGTGATTTGGAGCCATTTTTAAAGTTTAATAAATGTGATCGTTATAAAAACAGACTCTGACATGTGCACAATTGATTTTGTAATGACAAAGTGTGTTTTAAACGCTATCGTGAGCATAAAGAGCGCATCTGAAGACACTGATGGAAATGACCATGGGTCGCTTTTTTCGTTCGTGCCACACTGTCACTCCCCCCTCATCCGGTCCACATTATCTGTCCATGCACATGAGAGGTCATAGACATACGTGACGTCACACGCACGACACGGAATGCGGATGGGATGGGGTGAAGCCTCGGCTCGGGGAGGAATAAACCCTCAAGTCTCACACAGAAGAGAAAAGCAGGCAGGTATGAATGTGAGGAAGCGTCAGATCTACTTCCTGTCTGTCTCTCGTCAACACAAACAAGCTATTCTCAGGACACCGTCATGTGTGGAACAGAAACAGAGGTTTTCTCACCTAAGATTGCGGTCGGCACGAAGGGATCTGCTCACGGCCGAGAGACATGCAGAGGTTTACAGAGAAGAGAAAAGCGGGTCAGTCCACACTGATCCAGATCAAGTCAGTACTGCATTAGACAGGAAGGTTAAACAGGTGACCATACAGACATAACTGGCTACACACAGACCCCCCCCCCCC